TCAGAAGAGGAAGAAGAGGAGGGAGAAGAAAGTGAGGAGGAGGAGGAGGAGAGTGAGGAAGATCTGGTGTCCAAGAACTCTGATGAGGAGTTGGAGGTGAAAGATGATGGAACGGAAGAAGATTCAAGTTCGGATGAATCTAGTGAAGCAAACAAGAATGAGGAACAGAATGAGGATGAAGAGATGAGTGAAAGCAGTGAGGAGGATGAAGATGAAGAAGGAGATGATGAATCCGAGAAGAGCGAGGAAGAAGAAGAAGTTGAACCAAAGAAATGCATTCTGAAGAACCCGAATCAAAGCACAGAGAGTGAGGACGGTGAGGACGCTAAGGGCACCAAGAGGAAGAAAGAGGAAAGAGGCAAAGAGAGAAACAAGAAGCCAAAGAAAGAGAGGAAGGACACTGACACAGATAAGGCAAAGGGTAAGGCTGACGAAGAAGAGAATGAAGAGAGCGAGGACGAAGGGGCAAAGGACAAGACAAAGAAAAAGAAGAAGAAGTCAAAGAAGGCAAAGGATGAGGATGCGCCAAAGAACAGCACAAGATATAGGAAGGAGTGGCAACAGCTGACTAGGTGGTGCCAGAACCCAAAGAGGTGCCCAGCTCGCATTGTGGCAGCCGCCAAGTCCAAGGACAGCTTCCGCTTGCTTTATTTCTCCATAGTTCTCCATAATATCCCTATACAGGTTACAAACGCACACAAGGTTACCTTTTAGTTTGTCGTTTCAACTCCACTTGTCGCAGGAAACCCGAGACAAACTATTTGAAGATTATCTTGAGTCTGGGTGCAGCTTTGCGCAGGTTGAGGCACGTTTCGAGAGGCGTTTAGAGGAAACGCAAAGGACCCAAGTGAGATGGGGTTTTCGTTCAGAACAATGGCTTGTCAAGAACCATGGAGAGCGCAAAGCAAAGTTGATCATGAAGAGAAAGAAGGATCTCGGTTTGTTTCTTGGTTTTGCTATGTCCCATATCCACCCCATATCCGACTCGCTGCACTCACCAAGCCTTAAGTCTCACGTCATCGATCTCATCGATCTCGTCATCGATCTCTCCTGCATCCAAGGGTGATTCCGGACCCGGAGTTCCCGGGTGAGGATGAATGGCTTTACTTTGTCATGGTCGAGTTCAATCTTGATGACATCCGGGAGCTCAAGAAGATAACTCAAATAGAACTCCAAGGAAGCCTCGATGCAGATGGCCTAAAGGCCTTTGTGGAAGTTACTTATCAGCGTTTGGTGTTCAGTTCATGACAGCTATATGCTACTCCCTCACATTTTCTCCTCTAGAAGCACAGCTTACTCATATGATCTTCTCAGGGTGGTGGGTGCTTGGATGGCAAGCAGCATTTACAGATTGGTGAGCTCGCTGGCAGCTCGGGGATGAAGACCCTAGCTGATGCCATCCCAGCTGCAGGGAAAAAAACCCAAAGAAACCAAGAAAGTCAGGAGGGGATGAGAAAGACAAGGATGGTAAGGACAAGGCTCCCCAACCAAGTACACAATGTGTCATGCCCTATAAAGACTTTAGTTCTTGGTGTTAGAAAACCACATGTCTCTGACAGGTCACGCCAGAGACTCCACTTTCAAGGGCACAGACGCTATTGACGCAAGTCATGAAAGATGCAAACAGTTGCAGGCGTCATGTTTTGTTTTGCACATATGTGTGTGTGCGCATGTTGAGCTGGTCCAATGTCGAGCGCTGCTCTCAGGGACTTCGCCTTCAAGCTGAAGCCCTTATCTTTGTCAACAGATTTGATTACTCAGCTCAAAGCGTGCGCGGTGAAACTTGACGGTGAAGCTGAGAACTTGCAAAAAAAGATTCAGCAGAAAGCAAACAAGAACAAGCACTATGCCGAAATCATCACAAGGGTCTGGGGGTGTCCAAAAAATATGCAACGTATATGTGGCTTTGTTTTTTGCATAGGGTCAAGGCATTCTGAAGCAAGACAAACAGTGTATCACTTCAGGTGGACAACCTCAGGAAGGTGGCCTCGGAGAGGCTTGAGCTTGGGAAGGCCTTGATCAGGGCTTCAGAGAAGCCCCCCAAGAAAGCGAAGGCCAAGACTGAGGAGAAACCCAATGATGGCAGCAGTAAGTCGACTGGCGAAGCCACTGCCTAGACTGCCTGGTTTCCAACCTGTTTTGATTGGGGATTCTTGAGGAAGTGGCCGTTCTACCAACAGACTGCGTTTCAATGTTGGGTCGTGTTCAAGTACTCATGTCTATATAGTCTGTGTAATCATCTTGATAGGTTGTTGCTTGTGGCTGTTGGAAGGTCACGCTCAAGCTAATAGACTTGCACATTAGTTCGCCTCAGGATCTTGAGAACTTAAGTGGTCGAAAAACAAATCTGGATATGAGCAGCCAGACATGTTGACCATATGTATAAAGCGCTATAGGTAGGTTCCCCTTCCCACGCAGGTCTGCTTCAAGGTCCCGCTCACGATCCCGGTCTCCTCCTCGAAGGGGCAAGGATGCTGGGAGCGCCTTGGCAGTCACATAGGGTGCAGAGTGTCTGGTGAATTGTGGAAGGTGAGTGGAAATGTGATTTCTTATGTGCCAACAGGTGTTTTGGATGGTGCTTCTTCATCGTCGTTGCGGATTCTGAGAAAGCTATGTTCAGGTGTGCCAACCCCAGTGCATCAATTGAAATGCATCAGTGCTACATTCGTGTTTTGAAAACCAATTGAAGTTCAAAGAACATTGCTACATCCTTTAATGTTTCTTTGAGCTCCCAACGTTTTGAAGCGTGCTCCCAGGCCACAACAGCTAGTGATGCCTGTAGAGATGCAGTGCAACTAGTCAAAGATGGACTACGTTGCAACTTGGCGATGGAAATGGTCAAATGGCATCATGGAAAGCATGAAGAGAGATCCTTTTCCAGGCCTTTGCTGGTCAACAATTTTTGTGTTCAAGAAAAATGTTGGGAACATATTTCAACCTTGTATGGTCTGAAACTGTTTGGAACATGTGCCCCTGATAGGTGGTGTCAAGATGTGTGCACGGTCAACGTTTCTCAAATAGATGTGCCCCTGAAACTTTTGAACGCGGAGGGGGATGAGATCCAGCTGGAATATGGTGTGGCTATTCTGTGGCCATGGGAGTTCATCTCATGTTTGTATGAGAATGGTCAACTTGAACGATGGGTGAGTGAGAATCCAAGGGAGGCTCATGACCGGTGTGAGCAGTATTGGAAACACTCTGAAGGCCAAGAGTTCTTTTCACAACTTGGCCTCCAACCAGAAAGCTACAGAACATGTGTGCCGCTATACTTCCACACGGATGCTGCCAAAATATATCGCAATCAAAAGCTTTGGATTTACAGTTGCACGTCAGCTTGCCACAAGGGTGACATCTCTACCATGAGTAAGCTGGTGATCATTGTGCTCCGGGACGCAATGATTGTGAAAGATGCAAGTCATGACAGGGTTGGGGAAACAATGGCCTACATTTGCGCAACCCTGGCATCAGGGAGGTGGCCACAGCATGACCACCGAGGGAATCCATTCCCAACAGGATCTCGAGAATATAACAGAGCTGGTAGATACTTTGCCAATGGATGGACATGCCACTTTGCAGGATTCAAGAGTGACTGGGAAGCACGGGCGGTCGTGCACAAATCCACCAGGTGGTATGCCTGCAACTTTATATGTGACCACTGCTTAGCGTCCAGGGATCCGCGCTGGACGTTCGGTGACTTTCGGGTCAATCATGCTGAGTGCCTCAAGGTTCGGTTCACGCACAGCCAATACATGATTTTGCAAGGAAGGAGGCAGTCTTCGTGGCGGTTTGTCAAGGGTTGGACCAAAGACCGCAACCTTGAGGATCTTTGCTTGCATTTCAACGATGTTTTTCTTTGAAGTGAACTCTCAACAACTTTCCAAAACAACCCACCCAAAATGGTTGCGATGTGTTGTGATACCTAAGGACTTGCTGCACGTTATGCACCAAGGGGTTCTCACCGTGCTCATCCCCTCACTCATTTGTGACCACCTGGAGAAGAAACACGTAGGTTGCACCTTGAAAGAGTTGGATGAACTATTGGCAAAGACCGTGTTCCCCCACTACAAGCGCTGGTGCCGGAGACACCGGCAGAGTGTCTCAACCTGTTCATTTCGGTTTAGTGCACTTCGCTTTGGTAAAGATACCTGGCGATCAATGCCTGAGTTGTCAAGCATGTACAAGGCCGCAATGACCAAAGGTTTGATGTACTGGTGCGCAAGTTACCTGCTTGAAGAAAAGAACCAATCCCCAGGTGGAGATCTTCGTTACAAAACCATCTATGCCTTCTGCAGGTTTCAATACTTGCTTGACATATCAGGACCCTTCCTCAGCGAAGAGGTGACTCGAGATGTTGCAGAGTCTGGCCAAAGGGGTCTTGTCTTGTACCAGCGGTTGGTTTCCCAAGACCGAAAGCGTGAAGATTATCGTCGAGCGTACAAGATTTTACCAAAGATGCACAGTTTTTTGGAGATGACCCTGTACATACAGAGCACTCGCCGAAATGCAAGGTTTCATGACTTCAAACATGGTCAACCCATTTCCTTTTCAGTTTAATGGTTGTACACCACCAACGAGGGATAGTGATGGATGTTTTCCACTAGTTTTCAATACCAACTCCCAACAGAGATTGACTCCATCCTAGGTGGGACCAGTGCTATGCCGAAGAAGACTTGATGCTCCAGATCGGTCGCATCGCGTCAAGATGTCACGTCAACACTGTTGAGAAAACCACCCTGTCTCGATACAGAGCCCTGGCCCAGCTGTTTCTCTTCAAATGAGAACCGGACTTCGAGAGCTTCAAGCTCTGGAGCATGAGCCCGCCGGTGCCGGTGGAAAAAACGGTGAATGTGTCACGTGTGTGTTTGACATCAAGGAAAAACTGTCAATGCATCATTTGTGGTTAAGGGCTATGTTCAAGAAAACTATCATGAGAATGGTGTTTTGGTCAAACATGGAAAAGTCTTTTTCCTTGATCAGCTGGCGTGGGAGGGCGGCACGGTGCAACCACCTCGTTTCCAGGTTCATCCTGGTATTCCCCATATATATTTTATATTAATATATACAGCATATTCTCAAAGAATATGCTTTTTTTCTACTTTTTTTGGCTCAAGACATGCAAAGTTGTGCTTTGCATGGGTGCTTAATGGTGTGACCCATCAAAGCTTTAAACATGCATGGACTCTCAGCTTTACATTCAGAAGTAAAGGCTTAAAATACAAGCCTTTACACTTTTCCTGCTTCCCATGACCCTGAAGGCTTGAAACCAAGCACTTTTGGCTGTCTAGGTTGTGGTCACAGCGGATGATTCCCGCTGATACTATGTCTTTTTGCTTGCGATGAACTTCTGGTGATTTTGGTGATTGATTTCGGCGGTCTGTCAAAATTGGCGAGGTTCTCAGCCTTTTCTTGAGCCTTTTCTTGTCTACTTGGCAATCGGCTCTAGTGGTTGGTTCCCTACTATAAACCTGGAACTGCGTGCGTGAGAACTGTCAGTAAACCCTATCACGAGAATGCACCTCCGGTCCACCTCTAGATACATGCGCGCACACACACACACTTAGATCCATGCTCGCAAAAGCTATATCAGTTTGGAACTTCCCGTGAGCTACTTACTGATTACATTAGTCGTGAGACCTTGACTCGCAGTAATCGCAAGGCGAAGGGTCAGAGACTTGAAGTGTTGAACATCACGCACTGGCACTTTAGTAAAAGACTGGGGTCGCAGCTTGTTCAACAGTCTACAGCGCGGCCAAGCCTCAAATGGGTGCAGGTACGTGACTTCGGCGTTCCAAAGTCATGCCGGGCCTTCGTTGGGCATTGCCTTCCAAGGTGTTCATTGCCCCCCTGCATGACTGTACAAGGTAAGTTGAAGTAAAACGAACCCATTGGGGATTGATTCATGTGGCCAAACTCCTTGAGAACTGGAGTTGACACACAAACACACACTACGCCGTATCGGCGCTCCCTTGACCGAAAATTGACCTGGAACTTAAAAGCCTCTAGCAACGAAGGAAAGACTGAGAAAGAGAAACTGCGAAGGAGAGAAAGCAAGACCGTGCATGAATTACTCAGTGTGAAGCTTCCAGGTGAATACGTTAGCCGCGTGATATGAAAGACACCTAAATTAGGCATAAAAAGCCTCTGGCAACGAAAGAAGGCCGAGAAAACGAAGAGAAACAGCTAGAGGAAGCAAGAAAACATCAAAGTGAATAAATACACTAGCCGCTAGGTGAAACGTACAAGTGGTTACATTAGCGGCATGTCATGACATTCTCTGGTGTGTTGCGTCGTAGCAGCAAGAATCAAACACGACGAATATCCGGTGGAGAGCCCTCTTAGGTCTATGCTCAAAGCGCCCCGAAGTTCCGAAGGGATCCAGTGGGACGATGCTGCGGCGCACACACTTAGATCCACACTTGCAAGAGCTATATCAGTTTGGAACTTCCTGTGGGCTAGTTTCTGGTTACATTAGACCTTGACTCGAAGGAACCGCAAGCTTCGAAGGGTCAGAGACTTGAAGTGTTGAACGTCACACACTAGCACTTTAGTAAAAGACTGGCAACAGTCAAAGCAAGGTACGTGACTTCACCGTCCCAAAGTCATGTCGCAACGCAATGGAAAGGCCTTCGTTGGGCAATGCCTTCCAAAGTTTTCATTGCCCCCCTGCATGACTGTACAAGGTACATTAAAGTAGAATGAACTCATTGGGGATTGATTCATGTGGTCAAACTCCTTGGGAACAGGAGTTGGCACACACACATGCAGCGTTACACAGCCATGTCCCTCTTGAATTTTCCTGACACTTCAGACACGCTCTGGCACGCTTACTGTGCCAATGCGTAATTGTATCAGGCGCTTTGATTCCGTGCTTTGCATTCTGCCACTGACCTTTTTGGAGTAGGACTGTGAGGGAACCTGTCTCCAACCCTTTCCTAGGCTACCTGCCGGCAGTGGCTCTGCAGCCTCGACCGGCTGTGTATATGGGGGACCATGGTCCACCGTGCCGCTGCAAGATCTGATGTTTTTCATGGTTGTCGTGTAACAGCGTAACATATTGATGATGACACAGTTTTGCAAACGCATGCTTTGTTTGCTGCTTGTTTTTCCCGCGAAGGTACCAACATATGATGCAACTTATGGCACCTGCCATGACAGACAGCTTCAGCTTGTTTGTGCACCAGTCAAGTGGATCATGAGTGAGCGCAAACCACAGGAATGACGCCTCACCCGTCAACCAAACGTTGACAACTGTGCCGCTTGCTCAGAGCAGGGATGAAGATGGCTTTTGTGCCAGCATCGCGTGTTTCAAGTCTCCTCCCTTGGATTTGCTACGGATTATTGAACAATATGCCGAGGACAGCTGTCTCCACACAAGCTAAGGAGGCGCCGCGTCTGAGACAAATTGTATGTGAAAGACTAGTGTTTCTTTGCAGAATTTGCCACTAGACCTTTAAAGATAGGTGTTTGAAGGGCACGACTGTGACTTTGGGCACAATGACTTGAAGACCAACCAGTTGGGTCATGTTGTCTCAGGAAGACTTACTTGTAATGCGTTGGGGTGTAGGAAGAACTTGAGCCTGACGATGAACAGTCGGTCGCCGAGGACAAGTCCGGGTGCCTAATTCCATATTTTTTAGCTTGTGCGCAGTGTGGCAAGCTTCCCAAGGAAACTGGAATATGTCTATTGCGGAATCGACTGGAAGCCGTTTCTTCCAACGGCCCTGTTCCCAAATATTTGTACGGGTGTGGTCAAACCCTTTGAGTCAAACATTTCTGAGCCACTTATAAGGCTCTGGTTTCCTCGACTGTGCCATCCTGAAGTCCTTTACGTTTGCCTTTTGCAATCAGTGCATTCATGCATTCTTGTGATGTTTTTTTGAGGTGGCGGGAGCAATCTGTGTGTTTCTCATCCAGATCCCTATAATTTGCAGGGCAACGGGAATGCGCGAGGCCTCGGCCACCATTCTGTGCTGAAAGGACATAAAAGCCTAGAGTGCGCATTTCCCGTCGAGGTGGCACTCTACACGACCTTCGGTGTCTTGTTTTTGATCACTCTGGGGTGCATGATGTGCCCACGGCGAAACATGCCGCTTTCGCATGCTTTTGCCGAATGCTTGAAAACCAGGTACACGATCAACGCCGACCCCGGTCTATCGAGGAGGACGCGCAATGTGAGCCACGACATCGAAGAGGCGCAGAAAACACAGGTTAAGGTTAAGGTAGCCTTAGCTCAGGAAGAACATGTTTTGGATTGGAGTTCACGACATGCTTGTGACAGGGGTTGCCGCAACGTGCCCACAAGTCTTTTGCCAAGATGTCCGAGCAGCAAATACAACGGCAATTTATGCTGTGTTTGGTCTGTTTGCTTGGGTTGCTTTGTCAGACTGAGACTGTGTTGTACCGCCTATCTCACGTCGCGTGTGATCCTGTCCAACATCAGGTCGCGTCAGTATGACCATCCAATTCGCCGCTATGACCATTACTGCCTCCTGCTTTCAAATAGAAGGAAATCTTTAGTCTGTTGTTCGACTTCTTCGTGAATCAAGTTGGTCCCAGGCAAATGGGTGAACAACGTCATCGGCACCAACCTCAGTCTCAATTCCTATCGTGTGAGAGTGTGAGAGCTTCGCTCTTTTGCAGGGCTGGACGTGCCAGGCCTGCTGAACCACCGGGAGTTCATCCTGATGGTTGGTGGCAGAGGCCTCAGCCTTGTGGTGCAATATTTGACAGGCGCGGCGCAATATGAAAGAAGACTGACCTCTGTTGCACACGTCCACCCAGTGGATTGAAGTGGATGGATTAAATATAGGGGCTTGAATTTTTCAGCGCAGGATAGTACAAATACTGCTCCCGAACTCCGGAACTCCAGTCGTGTGCAAGTGGGGTCCATTTGGCCTTGAGGTGCAGAACGGTTGTCTCGCATTTGTTGTAAAGATTACGCAGCGAGAAATTGACCGCTTCTATTGGCGCCCCATTGTACTTCAACAGCAGATGGTAAAGTCTTCATTTTCCACTTTTTCATGCTTAGACTGCCAGATGCTTCACAGGCGTGTACGATTTGTTCAAAGTGTTGTTCATGTACTTCTTCTATCTTCTTCAGAGGTAGCGTGTTGATTCCCGTCCCCTCCCCTCGTCGCCAGCACTACTAGCATTCTGGCATAAGGTGAAGTCATGTGCTTAGCAATCACAGCAGCACGACGCTGGCCATGAGGTTGCGCAATACAGCACGAACCCTGCGCAATGAGGTTGCGCAATGCGGCTTCGATGCCGCGCATGCGCACCCGGCAGCCTGACACAGCGCGTACTGCGTTCACAGACCATATTGCTCGACACCAACGAGCATCGATGCAACACAGCCTCTTTGCAAAGCCCTGTGGAGAAACCTCTCGCTTCGCGGAACACCATTCGACTCAGCCTTATATACCCTAGCGTGGCGAAATCTTACCGCATCGTGGAGCACCACTACACAGCTATCTACGCGCCCTCCCATCAGCCGCCCACCATAGCGTGACGTCCATCCCTGGCAGTACCGGCCGCACCCCTCCAGCACTATCCTTACGAGGGGGGTTGGTCACTGCGGCTTCGACGCAACGCGTGCAGGCCTGTAATCCTGACACAGTGCGCGCAGCCGTGGGACCATAGCTGGTACACTCGCGAGCGCTTGCGCGTTGCGACTTTTACGCGCGCCTGTTTTCACACACCTTTACACAAACGAGCGTCGACGCAACGCAGCCTCTCTGCAGAGCCGTGTGGCGCAATCTGACCGCAACGGTGTTCCTCTTGAGCCTTCTTGTGCTCTCTGGCGTTGTTGGTTTCATCCATGATTGAGCAAGGGGCACGTTCCTGAAACACCAGAGACAGTCCCTCACCAGAAAAGGTCCCGACAGCTACCCAGTCCGTCTCTACCTTTCGTGTTTCCCCGCTCAAGTGTTCTTTAGGTTTGAGATTTTCAAAGAACGTCCATCCTGAATCGCCGAGGTTTGATTGCCATAGCGCTGTTTTGGGCCCAGTCTGATTGGAATGGAGACATGAAGTCAACTCGAAGAAAGAGTAATTTGAAGATGTGGCACAGACTCCAGAGCCAGGGAGGGCCCCACAACTCTTAGGCTCGGCGTTCTCATGGATCTATGGGTTGCCATTTTGTTGGCCGAGGAGGTCGCTCTTGGTGCCAATGCTTGTGCTTTCTGCTTGCGCTTTGCATTCTGCTTGCGCCATTGACCTTGCAGGGATCATTGGACGCCGAAGTCGCCGTTGCGTCGTGCCCACAGAGAGACAGAGATAGATAGAGAGTGCTTCGCGCCGGAGATATAGGAGCAAAGACGCTACTAGGAACAAAGGGCATCGCTACTAGGAACAAGAAACTACTAGGTGTTCCTGGCCTTTCTACTAGGAGCAAGAAACTACTATAGGAACAAAGAGCATCGCTACTGAGAATTCTCGATCCCTCAGGTTGCACTTGGGGTACTCAGTGGCCCTGCTGGCTGTTGCTGGGCAGTCTCCTCAGCGTATCCGTACGGTACGCATCACGGTGATGCATGCTGGGAAATGCGCTGATCCAGACTCAGGCCAATAATGAAGATTCATTTTGGCTTGATCTCCAGGCACTATTCAATTTTTTCTTCAGTTGCAGAGCACTGCCCCTCCCACGTAGATTCTTGATGAATTTTGTATTTTCTTGATGGAGCGCAGGAATGAGTTGGCGCAAGAGTGGAGGAGCAACCAACACTACGTTGCATGCGCCTCATGTGAAATCAAGGTTCATGCCTCTAGCTGCCTTTGAACTGCAAGGCAAACAACACCAGTAAGGGCGACAATGTTTATGTCGAGGAGCTGTCGGATGACGAGCGTCCCGTCTGCACATTGTCGTATAGCATCTTTGCGAGCGCCGATAAGTGAGAGCGAGTCCATGCGTGAGGTTCAATGAAATTTTCGACCGTGGAGAGTTCATCTATGACAAGAACAGGCGCAGCGCCCAATCGGATCATAAAAACCACTGCAGCGGTTGCGCGCTGGAGACGCGTGGTTTGTGAGACATATGGGCGTGATTTGGCGTGCAGGAATCCCTTTGACCATGGTTTCGCGCGGAATTGCTTGAACTTCTGGTGCAAGCCCCGCTGGCCCGCTGTGCCTCGTCAAGCTTCGTGTTGCAACGATTCCTATTTCCTTTGATGCTCTCAGTTTTATCATTTGATCGAGGATTCAAGTGGAAACTTCTGAGCTTCCTGATGGCTCCAGTTTCACCCGCTGAAACCCAAAGAGTTCAGCGCGTGTCAATGACATTCTTCACTGCGCATACCATAAAGTCAAAAAAACGAGCCGGCTGCGCATACAGGATTTGTCAATCACGCAGCGGCCCGTTCTTCCGATCAAAAGCACGCGCGCAGAGCGAGAAGCTGTCTTGCGTATGGACCTTGGTGCATGCACAGTCAGCCTGAAGGACCCTAGAGCAACTCGAGTCGTATCCTACATATTTGACGAAAATCCTAATATACATGTACTTTAGTAACGGGCTGCCCGTACTGGTATTGAAACGAGCCAAGCCCTGCAGAACCGATTTGGGCTACTCTATCAGAGAGTGAGTCCAAAACATTGAAACATAGAGAATCGATATGGGGCCAACAACAAATACTTTTGGCACTGATGACAGACAAGAAGTCTTGTCATTTTTGGTCTACCACTCATCTGGAAGCTTGTCATCGACGCACGTTACTATGATCCTCTTCTTTAACGCCATAACTATCCCACCTATCAAGGCGGCAAGTCTAGGCACTAACTACTTCCAGAAATGGTCCAGAAACTATGCATATACATATACACAACATGCCCTGATGCTCCAAACAGCCCAGACCGGGATTGGTGAGAAACCCCAGACCCGTGACGCAAGGATTCGGATGAGGGTCCAGGGTCGTGACTGGGTGTTTCATATCTTTTCGTCCAAGAAATCCTTCCGGAACCAGCTAACCTGACCGTTTGAACATGGTTCAACCGTCTCTAAATGAACCAAGATGGACACATGGTCATGGTCATCCACGCCTTGGTGGAAAATGCCGGTTCGAGTGAGCGGAGGTCTAGACCCCGTTGGCACATAAACGAGGTGCCCCTAAACATCCCTAACATTCCTAAACATTCCTAATACTTTTGCAGGCCACAAGAACATTCAAAAAAGCAAACAATATCTAGCCGCTACCTCAAACATGTTCTTCATGGTTCCCGCTTTTGGGGCAAACGCAGTGACTCAGACTTCCTGCAGTCAGCGCTGTTGGTAGGCATAGGCCGTGGTTGGTGGAAAAGATGTCTTGCACACTTCTCCAATTGGACATCCAATACTGGCCAATGGTAGCTCTGCAGGGACTTTGGTGTGTTATTCAACAAAAGAAAGACAGGACTGATACTCCTTGGCACGCAGCCGCCATGGGGCAAAGCTGCTGCTTTGGAAGGGAGAAGGAGAAACTTCATCATTGGGATGAACACCATTGCGATGTTCATGGATTTCCTGCACCAAATATAGCAGTGAATTACACATCATCACGATCAAAACCTCAACCATAGGAGTTACAGGAGCAGAATACTACCAGGCCATCTTTCCTCATGAAACAAAAAACATCTGAAGACGGAACTGGAGCCGTGTCACAAGAAACAAATATGATCAAATATGCGCTGTTTGCGCGTGCAATGTCTTGCATGGCTTGCCAAACTGGTTGGAATAATCTTGAAAAGCAGCTATCTCTATGAATCATGGAACCCTAGTATCCTGATTGGGTATATTCATGTATATTCCTGGGATGGTTTTAAAAGAATTAAAGTTTAACCTACCCAAGATAGCTCCATTCCGCCCACAGCCAGGCCCTAGCCCTAGCGGCCCCAGCAGCCCAAGCAACAGCACCTGCGCGTGAAGCGGCCTGAAGCCGAGAACAGACTCTTGAGAGAGATCAAGTGTCACTTCCCAACTTTGAAGGACGCCAGCATCCTTTTGATGTGGTTGACCCGTTCCAAGGGTTTTATATGTATAATTAGTATTGTACAGTCATTCTAGGGAGATAGGGTGTTGACCATGTGAATTGAACATCTAACAGCAGAGAAAAAGTACGTGAGAAGACATCCTGGTCATCGCCGGGCTCCATAGAAATAAGCAGCGCTTGCCTTCCCTATAGGCCAAAGCTTCCCACCCAGATGTGGAAGAGCCTCCTGCCAAGGGGGCGAAGCAGGTCTGGGGCTCAGTCTTTTACCCACTTCATTGTCAACCAGGATGGCATAACTGCTAGAAGAGCGGTAATTAAACTAAACCTTCATGTAAACCATGGCCAGGATGAACACAAATTCAGACCTGCATGATGAGAAAAACCTATCAGAGTCTGCACGTTTGGACAAACAACAAGATTAACAAGATGATTAATTTGGAAGCACTCCTTGGCGGAGGAAAGCTATACTGACCCTTTGGTGCTTTCAATTTTCAATTCACTGTATATCAGTATCCATTCCTCAAGAACTGTACAGGAGGCTTTGAGGTTTAGGGTCTCTTTGCTTTGCACGTCCAGTCTCAGATCTGGTGCTCGACAAGTCCGTGAGGCACCAGTGGCACCACCAGCTGCCAGTGCGGCGGCCGAAGCAGCTTGGAGCAAAGATGTCGGCATTTTAGAAAACAGAAACGAGATACAGTAGTCTTTTTGTTCTGGAGAACTGAGCTGAGCAAGATCTGAACTATTTGTAGGAAATCAGAGCATTCTGTAACAATCTAATCATATGGGTCATAGTCGAGTCTAAAACTTGGTTGGTTTGATGGGCGTCCACTCTAACAGGACTTTTGTCCGAAAGGGAGGGTTGCTACTCTGGAGTTTGGACCTTGCGCACATGTCCAGTTTGTGGCTTTTGACCTGCAGCATGACATTCCATCGACTTCAGGAGAAGGCCCAGAGCGAAATGGGTGCGCTTGTGGTCGAGACCATGTGGCCAAGCTGCAAATAATCCTGTGCATCAAGAGCTTTGAACCTGTTTCATTGTTTCATCAGTTTGGAGCATTGTCCCTTGGGGATCGGTCCTTTCTTCAGAGTAAGCAGGTGGTTTATCCGATAGGATTATCCGAGGATGAGGTCATGTCCGAGGTTTTTTGAGTGTCTCGTCCTGGCGGAACAAAACAGGAACTTCCTGGGGATGGCGCAGAACTCGGAACGCTTTCTGTGGCCCGGAGGCCTAGCGGAGGCCGATAGGAGGCCGCTTTCTTCCACTCCCCAACCTCGAATCAGCTTGGAGTAGATATATAGCAATCTGCACCATTTTTAAGCACCACCTGTCATTTTCCTGCTTTCCACTGCTTGTAAAGGATGATGAGGATGTTTCAAAGTCTTTGATATCATAAGTCATAAGTTATAGTTATATTTGTTAAATTTTTATACATCATTTTGACTTTTATTAACATCATTTCAATATGCCAAGACCGTCAAGCCTGTAGTGCCAGTCGATGCTATTTTGGACTGAGGTTGCTGCAACACTCCAATGTGACTTCGCTCCGGCATTTGGAGTGTCTCTCCCAGGTGCGTGCCTGATTGAGGGGGTTGATATGAGTTGATATGTTCACACCAAAAGGCAATGTAGGAATATTCCTTTGTATGAGCTTCACCGACATCATGGACAGATTTGTTTGCTGCAGGATGAATGTTTGAAGCTTCAGCTGCCTTGGGACCTTGTCGCGGCAGTTCAAAAACGCTTACGGGACACTTGGTGAAGCAATTTTATTGCTTCTCGCTGTTCTGTGCGCCAGTTTCTGATACGCTCATTGAGTGTGAGCTTTCTCAGGTCTGGAAATTGGAGATGCAGGACTGAGACATGTTCGGATCCAAGGAATTGGGGCAGCCTTAGGTGCCAAGTACCTACCAATCATCCACAGTAGATGGCAAGGAAGCACAGATGGCAAGGATGGACGTATGTCTTCGCGAGCTCGCGACAGGACGAAGCAGAGCTTGCTTTGGAGCAGGGTGAGCTCCACTACCAAATGGAGGCGCAAATGGCAGTCACCACAAAGAGCTTTCAAATGCATAACTATAGAAAACATTTGTCCACTCGCACTAAAGCAGAGCAGCGTGATGCAGCATGCGACTTTGACAGGAGCCTGTGAATCCGCTCAAGAACTCTACCTTGGTTGACAAGCTCCATGCTGTACAGGCAGCAGGCCAGGATGTTCTAAAGAATCATGGTTTGCCTTGGTGAATGGCCCGAGAAGACAGCTAAGGAGGCTACTTGTTTCACTGTAAGCGAGGTGTACACAAGGGATCACAGGGCATGCGTTGAATATGTGGCCTAAGTTCAGACCATGAAGTGGCTGAAGGTACTCAAAAGCCACCTGTTAAAAGTCCTTGGTTTGAAGCCTCAAGTTCCCAGTTCTGAACTGCTCTCTTCAAGCTGTTTGGAATTCCTTCCTTTCCAGGACAGGAGTCGCACCCGCAAGTCCAATACGCACCCCCATTGCCAGCGCTTCAGAGCGAGCTTCAGCCAGAAAGGCTAGTATTTTTCTCATTGGTCTCAGTCAAAAGAGCTCCAACAGTCAAAAGCAGCATGACTCATTGACTGCTTAGCACGGTCCAAGCTTGTTTGCTGAGGCCCGGCATGGTGGCAGATGACTCGCACATTCAACGCATCGAGGCGCTCGCGCCGCCATACCCGCTCGATAGCGGGGTTGGGGGGTTTGTCGTTATAATTGGGGGGGGGGCGAATTGTTAGAATGAAAGGGGGGGGGGATCGTCGTTCCCTTCCATGGCGGGGGGGGCGTTCTCCTTGACCAGGCCTTGAATGAAAGGGGGGCGGGGTATCGTCGCCGAATGGCGGGGTTGGGGAGTTTGTCGTTATAATTGGGGGGGGCGAGTTGCTAGGATGAAAGGGGGGGGGTGTCGTCGTTCCCTTCCATGGGGGGGGGGGGGGGCGTTCTCCTTGACCAGGCCTTAAAGAAGGATGATGTGCTACGAGGGCCTTAAAGAAGGATCCTGTGCTACGAGGGCCTTAAAGAAGGATCCTGTGCTACGACGGCCGTAAAGAAGGATCCTGTGCTACGATGGCCTTAAAC